TTCCAATTTAGAGCAGCAAAAGTCTAGTGTCTGATATCAGTTGTAGCTTTTTTTTGGGTAAGAGACATGATGTTTTACGGTGTTAATAGTTTTGAAAGGGCCTACGTTTCCAATGAACAGAGTTTTGTGAAAAGGGCTCTGAAAAGCATTATTCAGGTGAAAATGCATCAAAGCGATGGGAGTTAAAAAGAGAAGAGTTTGCTGATGTAGAGATTGGAGGCAGCGTGTGCTGACAGGTGCAATTATGACCAAATGATTGAATCTCTTAAGGGAGATCTGGTGCGATAAGGCAATAGTTATAGACTCACATTGTTCATAATTAGATACTCAGGGGTCCAGCTGTGAATAAACAACCAACACAAGGGTCCTAAACTACTTTACATGCAGGACACAACAGCAGTAGCATTTACACATTGTAAAATGAAGTGATATAGCATTACTTTGGCTTAACAGACGCTAATTGGCACAAAGGTTGGAGAGATGATTTTGAAGTCTGTATTTTCCCTCAGACTCGTCATAACCTGGAACTTCTCACGCCCCTTCCCAAAATGATGATAAACTCAGTTGCTAAGTCCTTCAGTTTCAAAGAACCTAAAGAAAAATGTAAACTTGTCAAAGTTAATAAATCATTTTATTATGCTAACAGTCTTTCTTTGCTCTTTGTTTAATGTTTCTGGACACGATAGTTTCCCTTGTCTACTTGTGTTTTAGCTAAAGATAGAGGCAGAGAGAATAATATCATTCCACCAAAGGCATAAAAGATAATCACCTTATTCCTGGTCTTGAAATACAGAAACTTAGAGCCTTGGCCTGTGAGAACTGTGATTACTGTATACACTAACACCTTTTTAGGCATCTAAGGGATAGCTCTTTCTCAGGGTCTCTGCCTGGAGACAGAGATGAAAAGACAACACAGACTTGTGAAATACAGCACAATTGTTTCTACTTAGAGTGAAGGATGCCCCTAATGTTTCATTAATACTTCTGGTAGACATCTTGCTTCAGGCTGTTGTTTTTAGTGACACAATGTAATTTATTCCGTTTTATTGTATTTTTTTCCTTCAAAATTCATTATTTCTTTTATCCTATGTATAGTTAGATTACTTTGTCATCATAATGCTCTTAGGATTCTTAAGTTTCCCAATGAGTTATATGTTTCTGATAATAAATAGCACATTCATTTAATGTCTAAGTTTGATAGCTCCTTTTGTACTGCAGAAAACTGACTCCTTAACATCTTTGGACCTCTAGTATTTTTTCCTTTGTAACTGCCAGGTTTTTTTTTTTTTTTTTTTTTTTTGTCTTTTTCCTTTTTTATCGGTACCAGGGATCGAACTCACGACCGCACACCTGCAAGGCAGGCACTTATGCCGCTGAGCTAAACCCCCAGCCTGCCAGTTTTTTTTTTTTAACCTTTAGCCAATAGGTTTTTGGACTCCATTAGTACATGGGTATGTAAAAGAATATTTTCTGCAAAAGTTTTTAAAAAGTATTCAGCAAGCTCAAAAGTAAATCAAGTGTTGCACCAGGAACTTATGGGTGCACCACTATGGCAGTCATGACTTATTCTGTTCTCTTCTTACATTATGAAGCACCTTGCACAGTTACTGACCAGTAGAAAATACTCATATGGTTCCTGCTCACTTTGTTTATTTATACTGTGAGCGATACCATTTTCATATTTTCCTAGAGTTTGTCATCTGGTTTAATTTAGAATTACTTTCACCATGTTTTCTGAGATCTGTAGGTGTGCTATTGTATTTGCATCAGGGACTTTTGGGAGAAAGTATTCAAATTTTTCCATGTGATCTATTTGATCTTAATTCTAACATCAGTGTAGACTGCATGAGATATCAAAAAAGTGATAGGGTGTTCACAGGGTCCTGTCTTCTTATACATGTATTAGACTTATAACTGAATTGAATGGATCCACATTTAAGAACAGTTAGTTATTGTTATGTCTTATATCTAGATGTCCCCTGACAGTCTCATATGCTCATAGGCTGGGCTTTTGGAGTGACTATATCATAGGTGTGCAATACTAGATCATGCATGTGTGATACTGGATTAGCCCACTGCTTGGATTAGCATAATTCTGGATGTTGATGATAGATTTATTAAGGGGAGAAAACTTACTCTGGGTGTGGATGGCACCAACAAATAGGTTTGTAGCCTGGACAGGATGGAAAGGGAAAGAAGGAAGAATGCCTGCTTCCTACCTGCCTTGTCATGAACTGTTTCTCCTCTGCCATCCCTCTGTGTCTTGAAGCTAGCCAGACTGAAACCTCTACAAACTGTGAACTAAAATACACCATTGCAATCCTTTAACTTGCTGGTGTCAAGTATTTTGTGCTGGAATGAGAAAGTAACTAAGGAAGTTGCCTATTTGCTTTTCAGGCAAGGTTACCACCTTTCATTACCACCTTGAAAGGTTACCGCCTTTCATTATTCTCCAGTACCATGATGCAATTTTAATGAAATTAAACTTAACCCCAAATCACATAATCACACTCAGTTTTATTTTTAGATACAGTACTAGTCACTTAATGCATCTAGAAGAGCTCTCTGTGTCATTTGTTATGGACAGGGTCTCATCACCAGCTGAATCTTACCAACTGGAAAGCATAAAAGACACTGGTATATCTCAGAGAGTCTGGTTGAATTGGTCTTAGGTGAGACCTAGTCATGTACTTTTTAAAAAATGCACCTCAAATGATTTAGAGGGTTGACAACTACTGAGTAGCAGGTAAAGAGACTTAGGACATAGTGACTACATTTTTCTTGCACTAATCAGCTTAATTAAACTCTCCCCTATAGGCCTTAGTGATGAGCCTCTTCTCATTTATGCCATGTCTGCAAATTAGGACAATAGAGACAGAGAAACAATGGAGAAAAAACACAGCTCTTGAGTCAGAAGAATTTGATTTCAAATCTTTCTGTTTCTTGCTAAAAGTGTGAACTTTAAAGATTCTTAAATTCCCTTAAATTTAAATTCTGCATTAGTAAAATTGTTATTGTAAAGCTTCCCCTTCAGTGAAGATTAAAATACTAATGTGATGTGAAAATGTTTAGTACTTTACCCAGGACATAATAGCTCAGTATGTTTCTTTTCCATTCTCTGTTTCTCTTTTTCTCATTTCCTCTTAGCTAAAACAAGAGGCTTGGATAATATTTAAATTCTTATTTTTTTAAATCCGGTGAGTCTGATTCTCTGCCTTAAGCAATGTGATTAGAGAACAACCACTGTGTATTATTTTCTGCGAATTCAGTTTATGTGCAAAAAAAGGAGATTATTTGCACATAGTTATCAGAGGATGTATTTGGAGTTTCTTTCATTCCTGCCCATTTATTCATATTTGGCTCTGATCTTTCAATCTGGTTTGTCTATGAAGTGCCTGACCAAAGGTTGGGAATGTAGTTTCAATTGTGGAAACAAGATTTCTTGATTGAATGAAGTCATCTATTTTATATGGGCATCAAATCCATGCTTTTTATTTCTATTCACTTGCTTCACTTCTATGACCATTAAAGTGTTTTATCTTTATAATAATGGTTGTAGCATCTGGCATTAGTATTACAGCATCTATTTGAAGTGATATACTTCAGAGGATCACAGGTGAAATCAGAAATATCTTTCAGTCACTACCTGCATAATTTTATTTTGTCAAGAATACAAAATATTGCTGCATCTCAATCCATGCCCAGAGAGTCATGGGGGAATTCATTCCAATGTAGTTTGGAATCTGGGAACAGTTCATTATTCATGGCAGTGACTCAGGAAGTCATTTGCCTTGTTTGATTGTGGCACAGATCTGTCCTTTGCCCACTTATCTAGTTCCAACTGGAAGCTCAGGCAAAAGAGTCTGGTTCCAAGCTTTGATTGCTATCTAGTTCAGCTACTAGAGCAAGGAGCTAGGAAAGTTTTCCAAGGTGCTTTCTCAAGGGAGTTTCTTATATTATAGAAGACAAACTTTCCATGGAAAAGCCACTCTAATGATGGTAATGCATCTCTCTATTGATTTTCAAGGCCTTCTGAAACAGTGAGGGATGCCGCACAGTTTAAGAATTAAAGGCAAGGGGTTAACTCCTGGAAAAACTGAATCCTAATTTTGTTTTCATAACTATTGTCAAAAAACAAGATCACAACAAATTTATCTTAAACATTTAATTTGTTTTTATTTGTGATGTTAGAATGTGCCAAGCCTTAGCCTCATAGCAGGTCAAAAATTTCCAGGGTCGCATCATGGTCCAACATGGGCAGAAAATGGAAATGACCTGTAGAGTTGGCTTCATTGGTCACAGTGTTTTGCTTTGTTTGGTTCACTTGGCCACCTGTCATGACTGATGGTGCTGGGACTAAGATTTGGTTATTTGTTGCAGGAATATATACTTGAGTTAGGTTTTCAGTTAGTGTGTATACTAAGTTGGGTTGCAGTTTGTTACATAAAAGACTCGAGTATGGAGATACCTTGAAGCCTAAATTTAATTTAGCACCCTCCACAGTAAGAGTCAGAAAACTCTTTCCATAAGGACCAGCTAGTCATTATTTTAGGATTTGAAGATCATGTGAGCTCAGTCACAACTATTCAGCTCTGCAGCTGTTGTCAAAAAATGCCTAAGTGTGATTAGATGCCAATAAAACTTTATTTATAAAAATTGGCAGTGGACCAGATTTGGGCTGTTGCTGTAGTTTGCCCATCCTGATCTGTAGGATCTTGTACTAGATTGTCTTTAGTATTAAAAGATATGTGTAATAAAACACAATGTGCTTAGCATATAGTAAGTCCTTGAACATAGTAGTAATTATGTAGCTTAATTTATAGTACATAACTTAGGCTGCCATATCCTGATGAAGCATCTACATTTCAAACATGTTACAGTATGATTAATACTAATTAATTACAATAGCAAAGTTATATTTAGGACTTTTCATTCTTGTTCTACCAGTGGTAGTTTAAAATTTCACGTGTAACATGTCTTTGTGATGTTTTTCTTATCAGAGACACATGCCATGAACTCCTGGGGCACGTTCCACTACTTGCAGATCCCAAGTTTGCTCAGTTTTCACAAGAGATAGGGCTGGCATCTCTGGGAGCATCAGATGAAGATGTTCAGAAACTTGCCACGGTGAGTTAATTTGCAAAGTGAGCTTTGCATTCATTAAATATGGATGATAGACTGATATTCTGAAGGTAGCATGGTTCTACTTAAGGGTGGGTGTTCTTGGGAATCACAGTAAAGTTTTTGGCTTTATCAACCCTCAATATATTTGTATCTTTTTTTGTCTTTTTGAGACAGGGTCTTGCTATGCAGTTCATGCTGGTCTTGGACTCACTTTGTAGCCCAGGCTAGTTTTGAACTTGCAGTGATTTGCCTACCTTAGCCTCCTGAGTGCTGGGTTTACAGGAGTGGGCCACCATGCTTGGCTTGGTATATTTGTATCTTATCCTTTATGTTCAGGAGTCAGCTAGATACAAGAGCTAGAAAGTAAATATTTTAGTGTGTGAGTCACATAGTGTCTGTCACAGTTACAGTTACTAAGCCACTGTGTTGCAAAAATAGTCCCAGGTAAAGACCATGAATAAATATGGCTGTGTTCCAATAAAACTTTATTTATAAAAGCTGGTGATGGGTCATATTTGGCGTATATGTGCTATGGTTTGATGAATTCCACAGAAATATTAGTGACAGAAAAAGGTATGTATTTAATGCAAAGTAGAAATTGTACTTTGGAATTATCAGTTTGGCTAGTTGATATGATTGTGGTTAGATGCAATATGATTCAAAGGTAAGAAACTCAGTTTTGACAATTATTCTAAGTACAAAACTGGGAACAGTCCATAGAAAGTACCACCAAGGTTCTTCTCAGAACAAGTAAACAGTGTAAGAGAAAAATTATGATATTAGTTGCTAACTTTAAGATACTGAAGAGCTAGATCTAACAGGCTCTTATGCCTTACTTTGGCCACGTATCAAAGAATTCAGACAAAAAAGTTTAGGAACCTTATATATCTACAAGGAGCAAAGAGTTGTATACTGAGAAAAACTACATAAGAATAAAAGGGGGATCTTAGATTGCATGTATATGGTATAGATACACATCAATGGCATATTAGATATGGGGGAATATTCTTTACTCCTACCAAGAAATCAGTTTTCTCCTAGATTTCTAAAAGCCTTTTCAGTATATGCTTCCTACCTTCAATAAAGATATGAGAATTATGAACTATTTCTCTCCTAAGAGATAAACAACAATAGAAACACTTTCAGTGACCCTTGCTGTTAGCCTGGGTATGGGTAGACAGTAGTGGGGACACTGTGAACCAGGGGATTGTCTCACTGTTGGGTACCAGGATGGATGCAAGGCTTTGTGTTGTTAGATCTTCTGAAATTTTGAAATAGACTATCTAGATTTCTAAATGAAATTTAAAGATTTTTAGATTTTGGGTTATTAAAAAACAACATAATAAACCAAGAAAAATATATTTGTAGGCTGAGTGTGGATCTTGACTTTCAGTTTGTAATCTATTATATGCATTGTATCTTGGCATATTGGTTATCTATTGCTGTCTAATAAATTATCCAAACTTGTGGCTTCAAGCAACATGTACGTATTATTTCATAGTTTCTATTGGAAGCTGAGAGCAGCTGAGGTGAGTGGCTCTGACTCAGGGGCTCTTGTGAGTTACTGTCGAGAAGCTTGCTGGGTCCGCAGCTGTCGAAAGCTTGTGATTCTCCTTCCAAGACAGTTCAATGTGGCTATTGGCAGTTATGTGAGCCTCTGGATTTTCTTCCACAAAAAGTAGAGAGAGAGAGAGAGAGAGAGAGAGAGAGAAAGAGAGAGAGAGAGAGAGAGAGAGAGAGAGGAAAGACACAGAGACAGAGACAGAGACAGAGAGACACAAAGAGAGAGAACAGTCTGTAATGCATTTTGTGACTTGATCAAATATGAGTCATGTTGATCACATTCTATTTTGAGTGGGAACTCCTCAGCTTTTACTCAAGAGAAGAATTAACTTCCATTTTTTAGTAAAAGGAGTGTCAAAATATTTGTGTATAAAAATTTAAAACCATAATTCCATGAGTACTGCTATTTAGTCCTTCTACCTCAATTCTGGCTTTAAATTCTATGTTTGGAAACTTCTGTGTCTTTTAAATTTCCCTTGAAATTATTTGGTTGTAGTCTCTGTCTCTTTCCTGGTTGTACTCTTGGTCCAGAATGAATATATTCCTGGTCAGGGTGACTCTGGGTAGCCACAAACTGAGATTCAGCTCCACGAGGCTATGTGTGAGCTCACTCAGTGTGTGTGTGTGTGTGTGTGTGTGTGTGTGTGTATGTGTGTGTATATGTGCGTATGAACACACACATACTTGTCCAACCAGGAAAGGGGAGGACTCAGGTAAAGGCAATGGATGTGAGTGTAGATAGGTCCTAGTGAACGCCTGTAGCCTTTTTACAGATCAGTGATAAAGCAATTTTACTGTGCTTTATTTTTCTACTGCATCAAATAGTGATTAACTAATTCCATCATTCCTGTTGTATTAACAGTATAATAATGATCCTCCTAACTTTTTGGAAATGTAGTACCTATTTGGATAAAATTAAGATTTTTTCAAAGTAAAGCTTTTGGTGAGTCTTGAAGGATAAGGTAAAGTGAGCCAAGTGGAGAGGAGGAAAAGGGTTAATAGGGGGCCAGCTTTGGTAAGAAAATGGTATCACTGTAGTTTGGCAGGAATGTATTCCTTTCTTTCTGGAGATACTAGGAGGAGAATCTGTTTCCTGGTTTTTTCCAGCGTCTACAGTGTCAACACTCTCTGGCTCGTGTCTTCCAGTTCCATCTTGCAAGCCAGCAGTGTTGGTCTCTCTTGAGTGTTCTTCTGTTGTCCCGTCTCTCTCACTGACATTGGTTAGAGAGGACCCTGTGCTCCTGAGCATTCCTGTGTTTAGATTGGGGCCACCTGGTTCACTCACCATGGTCTTCTCCCCTCTAGATCCGTACCGCTAGTCAATGTTGGCAAAGGCAACATAGGGGCTCCGGATGGAAGGAAGTGGGTGTCTTTAGGGGACTATTATTCTTGTGTCTGCTTTTTTATTTTATTTTATTTAAGGAGAAAAAAGAAAAAAACAGAAAAAGGTATATAACTTATATATTCTATATAAGTTATATAACTTATATATTCTATATGTTATATAACTTATATAACTTATATATTCTATATAAGTTATATAACTTATATATTCTATATAAGTTATATAACTTATATATTCTATATAAGTTATATAGAATTTCAGAAAAAATAAACAGTAGGAAATAACTAGTTAATAGATTACATATTGTCATCTTGGAAATAGTTGTTCAAGTTACAAAATTAAAGCATATAGAGTGGACATTCACACAGTGAGACTGTAAACAGTTCTGTTCAATGATCCAATAAAACTCAGTAATATCTTCTACACTTAAATATACATGCAGTTATGTCCTTTAGAGCACTTTCTTTTTCTTTCTTTTGTACAATGACAATTACACATTTTGGGTTTTATTACTCCCACAGTTCTTACAACTTTTTTTGGAAGAGAGTAAAACCAAATGTGACATAATGGGACAGAGTCAGTCAAATCAAAAGGATGGACATAATACATAATATAAAAACAAAATACAAGGTGATCAACAATGGTTACCAAATGCCTCTTGCTATCTTAAAAAGAATTGCATATATCATCAGTTATAATAAAATTGAACAAAACTGTAAAGAACAAAACAATAAAACCAAAACATTGGAGACATTAAAGGACTTCAAAAGAAGATAAGAGTCAACCAGAATGGGCGTCATAATGAATCTTGTCTTTGCAGTTGTTGCCTATACTTTCGAACTTGGTACTATCAAGCAAAACGGAATAGAGGAAAATCAGTCAAAACAAGATGGTGAGAGCAATACAGGGTTTCAAATCAAGTTAATAGGAAATCAAAGTGGGTTACTATAATATATTCTGCTATTTTTAAATTTATTTCTCCCTTAATTAAAAGGATAAAAATGAAAAAGTAAATAATTAAAAAAAAGGAGACTGAGATAAAAGAGCGCATAACAACAAAACAGCGCAGGTCAAAACATAACCATTTAAGCAAAATAGTGTTTCACCACAAGATAATCCCGACATAAAAGAAGTTATCATAGTGTCTCTTTTCTTGAAATCTTTGAGTATAACTTCGTATACTGTAGCATCAAACAAATCAAGACAATGTAAAACCGTTCAAGAGAATGACAATATTACAGGGTATTTAGAATCAACTAACAGAAAATGAACAATGGTTTCTGTATAATCTCCTTGTCTATAAAAGTTTTTGTTTATATTATCACATATAATAAAATCCAGTAAGATACAACATGTTAAGACCGATGGAGACAAAAGAACAAAAGCTTGATGTGACTTCAAAACAAGATGATATTAAATCAGCACTAGCTATTATGATGTCTTGTTTTCTCCAAAATAGCTGTTCCTACCATCCAACCTTCTCTGCCTCATTTCTATTGAGCTCTTTTTCTGTCATTAGTTGTCAGTTTGTCTTCTTTATTTTGCTTTCTGCTCCATTCATTGTGGCCTCTCTGCCACTGTTTCTGAAATCTTGGTATTTTTTTTAGAATATCCTGAAGTATTCTCTGTAGTTGAATTGGTGGTTGCAAATTCCCCTAGTTCCTCTTTATCCTGGAAGCACCTTGTTTTTCCATCAATTTCTAGGGACAGTTGTGCAGGATATATCAATCTTGGCTGGAGGTTATTATCTTTCAAAGCTTGAATTATTTCCCCCCATGCTCTTTGTGATTTGATGGTTTGTGCCGAGAAGTCTGCTGTAATTCTGATGGGTGTTCCCTTGTAAGTGATCTGTTTCTTGTCTCTGACAGCTTTTAATATTCTGTTCTTATATTGGATTTCTGGAATTTTGATTATTATATGCCTGGGTGTAGCTCTGTTTGGGTTGTAGGTGGCTGGGGTCCTGTATGCCTCATACATCTGAGTATCATTACCTTTTGCTAAATTAGGGAAATTCTCCTGGATTATTTCTGTGAATAGCTTTTGTAGTTCATTTGTTTGTGTCCCTACTTCTTCTTTTATGTTCTTAATTCTTAAG